TCAAAGCTTATTATATTTCACAGGGAATTTAACAAGATTTCAAGAAGACTGACTGACTATGTTGGTTCCAAAATATACAGGAAAATCCTCAGAGGAAAAAGCACAATAAAAATGCAAAATAGTAATAAAGTCAACAACAGTTTCTATACTACTGACTTAAAGAGAATATTCAAAAACACTCATGGATACATATAAGTATAGTTTAGCTATATTTAAGGATTTTTCAAAGAATCACAGAATAGTTACATTTTTAAGATGGATGAGAATTTATGCCACTTAATCGAGTTGCTCCCAAAGTAAAAAACTACAAAATTTACCCCCTCCAAAATGTCCCTGTCATCTGTTTTAAATTTGCACAGCAAATATAAATGGCCAGAGGTAGTACTTTCCAAGTTAGAACAAGTCCAATTGCTAAACAGTTTGTTACACTGTCAAAAAATTATACTGAGTTCAATCTATGCCTTCCTAACTTTCACCTTGCAGTCTGACTTCTAAAATAGCAGAGTGAATCTATTCTCTCGTCTATTTATGTTTTTGAAGTTCAGGTTTCCTTGCTATCCCAAACATGCCTATGAAGCCTTTCAGACAGAAGTCAAAATGGCGCAAAGCAAAGAAGCTATTTTACTTTTCACCTTTTGTTGTGAAGTGAAAATCTTTGGATTTTTTTTCCATTGGCAAAAACAGGCACTACTGCAGGTCTTCAGTAAAAGCAAAATGGTGTGACTCAAACTTTCAGAAGTGGGGGATACCTGTATGTGAAGACAGCTATGTTTCTCACCCTTTTGGCAGTCTTTCCCTCAGGCTAAATATATAGTCCACAGGTTACCTTTAAGACTTGAAGACACTAGAAATACAATGAACGTCCACACTTTTCAAAAAATGCCGTTTGTCAAATTTTGGTGTTCTATCAAAGAATATACAGAATTTCATTAGGAAAAATACTATTACAATACTTCCTTTTCTAACTACCTATCAATGTGAAGTTGGATCCTCTTCACCTGCACTGACATCAAAATCCATCACAAAAGAAAACCAGAAGCAAATCACTAAAAGCAGTGATTTGGGAACACAGAAAACATTACTACTAATCCTACTGAAATTTTTGATATGGAACATATGCTTCACTACAAAAATTTGCTAACAAGTAATCAGTTCATTATTGCTATTTTTAGATAAATATTTTTAATTTTTAAAATTTCTAATTCAGTTACTATCAACATAAGCAAAAATCTCTATGGGTCTGCAATAATTTTTCAGAGTCTAAAGGGTTCTGAGATCAAAAAAGACTTACTATATTGCTTCTTACAGGCAGATTTCCATCTTTAACTATACTGGGTTTCTCACCCATCCAACCCCTCCTAGTCCAAACATATAAATATGGCTCTATATAGGAGGAACCTTCCATAGAGTACCTATTCATGAGCTAGAATCTTTAAACATATATACCCATCTTCCCTCAACTAGTGACTTCAAAAAATTAAGGACCATATGATTTAACATCAATAAGTGAATCATCTGGAGTAAGATACTCTGAGTCTTCTAAGGAGAAGCAATCTTTAAATAGAGAAGCAGAGAAATAACAGCTTTTTTTTTTTTTTTTAAGATTTATTTATCCATTCAGAACTGGGGTACAGGCCAGAGATGCAGAGGGTGAGAGGATTCACCAGAGACAGAATGGGGAGTAGAACAGGCAGATAGACAAAGCACACTGCTGAGGGGAGCAGCAGGCGGGTCAGGAGAGGTCTGCCGTGCCATGTGGATCTCTTCCTGGCCAGGCAGGGATCGAACTCATGTGGAAGTGGCTTTAGCTTCTTAGTGCTGTGCTTTAACCTGCTGCACCACCAGGAAGGGCCAGAGAAATAACACTTTAACTGTACTATTTCTTTTGACCAAACGACTTTCACTGCTTACATAAAAATAAAGCAAATTATTCATAACTGGCAAGATGGAATAGAAAAGAACATTCAAATGTGCTGTATGGTCATTAATTTGATGCTTAGCAATAACCCATTGAGCACCCATATACTGGTGTGTACAAAAACCACCTGCAAATTATCTAGCTAATATGACTGTCGGTCCCTAGGCCTCAACAAAGCAACAGTGACTTTATTTAAAAATTTACTTAAGGGCCATCCTCAGCGGTGCAACAGTTGGGACTCAGCACTGCAAGCTAGCAGTAGCCCCTTCACTGTGAGCTCAATCCCAGCCCCAAGGTGACCCACACGGAGCAGCAGACCTCACCTGTCTTGCCCTCTTGCTCCCCTCAGCAATGTATTTTGTCCATCAGCCTGTTCTGCTCCCCACTCTGTCTCTGGTGAATCTTCTCACAGCCCTGCACCTCTGAGCCTGTAGCCCAGTTCTGTGTGCATAAATAAATAAGTCTTTTAAAAAAATAAAAATTTACTTAACCTTATAACTTTTCACCTCCTTAAATCACAACATTATTGGCTGATAAAATTGGGTAGCATTAACATTTAAATCTAGAGCTACATCACTGGGTATCTCTCAGAAAACTTCAAGTTTGATAAAAGCTTTGGGACTTTGGGGAGAAAATGCAGACTACTTGTAAATTACACCTTAATTCTAATAAATCCTTAAGTTTTATGATACTTCAAGATGTAATTTATTTATAACCAAAACTATATAAATATGATAGTAAGAACAGAGTGAGAACTGAGGAAGAAAGTCAAAGTTCTTATAATATTTCTTACTGGCAGTCACCAGAAGTCAAAAGCTCTCTCAATTTACACTGATTTATAAACTACACTAACATGTATACCTGCAGAAGAGGTAAAATACTTACTAAAAGAAAAACTAGAACTCCAATCCATAGAAATCATGTCTCCATCTAATAAGCTGACTTTTATACATGCAATTTCTGTTAACACTAGTGAAATCAGAAGACTACAGCTTCACAACAAATATAAAGCCCAAAGAGGATTAAAACAGCTATAACTTACATGCTGATTGGTCAACACACACACACACACACACACACACGCACACTGTGGCCATAAAGGTACTTGGTGTTAAGAATATAGTTTTCACAAATGATGTCCTATGATTTCACTAACAGAGATTCACTAGTTTAGGTTACATAATAAAAATCTACTGTGACTCTAAACTGCTAGAAAAAAATTCTGTGTATTTAAGCTAAATTATTTCAATCCCTCAAAATTTTCAACCACCAGGAAAAGTGCAGAATAAAGTTTTTTAGTTAGAGGTGAAATAACACTGAAACTCACAATCTAGATTTTGCAGCCCCCAAAATACTATAAAACATGTTACAGATGAACAACTCAACCCTACCTCCTCAGTATCTAGTACAGCGCCTGGTTCATAGAAATGGCTTAATAAATAGTTGAAAATGAATAAGCAATAAAAAAACAAATTAAAAAAGAAGGGAAATTCTTTCCAAGATCAGCATTCACTATAATTCATTAAGCATCTTAAAAACAATGCGGACAAAATTAAAAGGCTAAAAATGCTATTTATAAGATGGATTTTAAAATAGTTATAAATGTTCAAATGCAAAAAAAAAAACTGCAGATGTACTAAACTGAGTTAATCAATAAACAAACTTTTATCTTCTAATAGATGGAAAGGGCAAAATGCCCATCTATGCATTCAGCATGTTTAAATATGTCATAAATCAAACCTTTACATGCATTTTCTAGAGCAAATTTATGTCAATCTTTGAGGCTATTGTCACTTTCACACATGCTCACAGGAACAAAATGACAAAGAATGCTGTGCCTGAAATCATTGGTTCAGGGCACAAAACACTTGAATAACAATTGTCAGAAATGTCAGTAGTACATACTGATGTATTTTCAAGTGAATCAATCTCCCCATTCCTATATAAATCACAGCTCATTTAAAAAAAAAATGAGTATGTTTAACTATTGGACTTCCAGACGGTTTTCTTTTTTTTTAATGTGGCTACAATCGCCTTACGTGACACAACTGGGAGTGAACCCATTTACCAATTGCTGACGAATACCGCGAAACGTTTTCCAGACAAAAGGGCGTGAAGGCCAATTCCATGCACATTTACTCTTCCCCATAAATGTGTGTGCACCCAAATTTCATTATGTCGAATACAAAGTTAAATACAGCACCGGAGAATTTTAGTCAAAAAACACTCCGGTGCCTCACTAGCTGTGTTACTGCTACATCTGGTGGCAGCACGCTTGCGTGCACGACGCCAGAAAACTTAGAAAACAATTGTAACCGATCTGGTGCGTGCCTGCAATAACCTTTACACAGATATTTCCTACAAAACCCATGACCCTGTCAGCAAAGAACAGTAGCCTACTTGCAGTGGGGAGGGAATGCACAAACACGCAGGAGGCGATGGCGAAGAGAAAGTTGCAACCATCTGGAGGAGTGATTTCGGAAGCCTGCCCACGAAATCAGTCTGTCGTTTAAATTGCTCTAAGGGGCCAGGCAGGGCATCAAAGTCGGCTTCGATAATTTCGGCCGCTCTCCCAGAAGGGCAGAGATCTTACAAGCGAGGGGCATCCTCCAGGTCTGGGCGGCGTAGCTCTCAGAGCAGGGACCGCCTCTTAGGGAGGAGTGCGAGAGCGAAGGGGAGGGGGCTCGAGGATGAATGCTTCAATGGGAGGGAAACCCACCAGAGACCAGAGGCCAGGAGGTTAAGAGTACTGAGTGTACTAGCAAATGGAGCAGAAAGGGGCTGGCGTCCGGCGGGGCTTCCCACCCCAGCACGACTGGCTCTGACGAACCCCAAGCGAGTCTGTGCGCCGCGCCGCGCCTCGCCCCGTCCCCACCAGAGCGCACCCCCTCGTCCGTCTCCTCAGTCACCCGCGAACCACCACCCACAGCCAGCGCACTACCTCCCCCGAGCCCGGCGGCCTGGCGTCCACCTCACCACCATCCCCCCACCCCAGGGTCGGAGGAAGGAGACCCGAGGGGGCGCGGGGGCCGCCGCGCGGGAGGGGAGGCCCGCGAGCCGGCACGGGCGCGACGGCGCTTACCTTCCCTGGGCCTCCCGGATGGCGGCGTGTGATTCAGCAGGGACCTGGCCGCCGCCGCCGAGCCCGGGGTTGGAGACGTGGAGAGCTGGGACCAAGATGGCGGCCCCTCCAAACTTCCACTGCTACTTTGGACACTCATCAAGCTACTTTCTGGGAACCCGACTCCCCCCCTGCGACGGCAGCGGCGGCAACGGCACCGGCACCCGCCTCCGTCATGGCGGGGGCTGCGCTGAGGGCGAGCGAGAAAGCGAGGGCAGGGAGGGGAGAGTCAAGGGGATGGGGGAGGAAACCGACAAGAGGGGAGGTGGGGAGGGGAGAGGTGAGGGGAGGAGAGGGGACCGGGAGGAGGAAAAGGGGGAGAAGCGAGGGAACTGGCGGGCGCGCCGGCGAAGAGGCGGAGGAAAGGAGCGCGGCGGCGGAGGCGTCGAGGGGGCGCCCGCTGGTGCCGGGG